TCTTTGGTGTAGAAGTCCTCTCATTATAGTTCACTTGCAAAGGAACAATCTGTAATGTTGCCAGGCTAACTGAGGGTGGTTATGGAGGACTGTTTGCAAGCGATGTTACATTAAATCCACTTTGATCTCTTGATATAGCAGAAATAAAAGTTGTTGGACTTTGCACACAATCTTGCAGTTGTTAGGTTATGGTTACATTATGGTTATTATGCTGGTATCAGTTGTGAGGCTATATTTGGACGTGATGTGTCACAGGAAGGTGCTAGGAAAGTCCTCAAGCTGTATGATACGATGTGAATAGTGGTGGGAGAGGCAGCAGATCCTTCCCAAGAGGAGCTCGCAGCTCCTCTCTTGCCAGGGAGTCTGACGCAATGGGCAGTCGCGGTTCAGGAACTGCAGGGCTGGGGTTGCAGATGTGGCTCGCGGCATTGTGTGTGTGTGCAGGGGCATGAACTACTGAACAATAACCTTGTCTCCTTATTGTGTTTGTAAAGATACAAGCATGTAGCTGGAACTACATAAACATATCCTACCCACAGAAAACTGGTGAAACTCCCCGTACGACACTGTGCCAGGAGATTACCTTTTGGAAGGGGAAGGGAGTAAAAGGAAAAGCAGGTATGCTTTGGATCACGCTGCATATGATGGCAGCAAACAGCAAAGCATTGCGGCATCAGGAAACTGAGTGCAAGGGAGATGTTGCTGAGAGCTGTGGGTTATGAAAACTGCAGGGAGGTGGTTTGAGTATTGAGGAAATTTACACTAAACCCATTGGGAAATGTTGAAAACCTTTGCTAGTTCAAACACCTTGTCAGAAAGAGTGGACCGGATTCAAAAAAATATTTGAAGGACAAGATTAGCTCAGTTCCTAAAAGAGAAACTGGTACTGTTAATGTTGGCCACAGCTAGCATATTCCTTGCTCAGTCACATCAAGATGATAAAGTGTGTGTTGGATTTTGGTAGCAGTTCCCACTACCTGTGTTGAAATAGATAGCGCAGTTGCTGTAGTGCTACCCATCAAATGGACTGAAGAGAGACCACGTGTGACCAGTTAAATGCTACGTTGGTTTACCACATGTCTCCAATTTATTGCTACTTTCTATGAGAAAATGTATAAAGGAAAAAAACAACAAGCAAGCTGAGTTGGATTGACTACTAACTGCAGATTGATTGTGAAGTTTATTGGTTGTTTCCTCAATAGTGCCAAATCAGCACCTGATGTAGAAACAGTGAGTGGTTTGAAGAAAGTTCTAATTAAAACCAGAATGGAATTGAGCATTTATAGGGGTTCAGCACATAAGTGGTCTTTCTCCCCTTGGTTATAACAGTACAAAGGAATGATCCTATTGCCAAGGCAACATTTGTTGAAATTGT